AGTATTGACATAATGTCATTGCTATGGTAAAAACACACAGGCACGAGTGATTGATTGCCAAACAGCAGTCACTCATTATCTTAGTTCATTGCTTAAGCAAACATATAATTGAACATCGATATGTATTTATTGACATTTACAAAGCATGAATGTCATCTCACAGCATACAGGACCAATCCATAATATCCATACTGCAATAACATATACAAACATCACAGCATTGTGCTCAGGCTGTACAATACTTGCTGGTACATAAAGTGAGGAGTCCACTTGCAAAGCCCTCTCAGTCAAGTTGGTCCATTTTTTAGAAAAATCTGATTTTTTGATAGGCATAGAAATTATCTTCCATAGATACCAATTTTCACTATACTGAAACTATTTGCCTTGCAGACATAATCCATGAAGCATTTCATTTTTTTTTTTTTTTTAAGAAATGACTTTTATTTTGCAACACAAAGTTTTGACTTAGCAGGTATTGAAAGTGGAGTTGAAATTTAGCAGTTTTGACAGTGTTTAAACCAGCCCCATTGCTCAATAGGTGAAGGTATTTGACTCAGGACTCACTCTACTTGCAACTCAATGCTACAGACAGCACAGTGGTTGAATAGCTGCTATGACAATGACAACATAAACATGACTCCGTGGGTTCAAATCCCCCTTTTATGGTATCACTATCGTCACACTTTTCTGAACTGCCCAAACCAGTTAGACTTAAAGTAAAAGCTGAACAGGCTATAAAAGCTCGACTGTGATTGGTTTCCTCTAGCGAACGAAAATGAAATCACGTTTCCACATTGGCTGATGACTTAGCAGAATTTGACAGTTTTCCTCCTTGACTTAGTGGGTTTTGACAGTGTTTCGCTTTTTCCGTTACAATTTATAACATGATTTAGCAGGTTTTGAAAGTGGAGCTATCAGTAGGACATGCGCAGGTGCCTGAAAGAGAGGCTAAGGGAGATAACTCATTTCAAAACTTGACTTTGCAGATTTTGCAAGTCGACTCCTCAAGTGTTCCTGCATTTTTCATTTCTCTTGATTCTTTCATTTCCTTTATTATGTTATATTCAGTATTTTACACTGAGCATCTTTGTTCCAGTTGGTAAAAACACAATGATTATGGTTCTCTGCTTTCCTCTTCAGGCTGTGCTATCGTGATCTTTGACCTTACCAGGCTTCTCTGTCTTAAAAGTGGGTAGGCCAGATGCCTAACCTGGCTATTCTGACTCAATAACATTTCATATAATAAACTTGTATTTGTATTGCGACTGTTTATCTTGGGATTCCTATATTCCATTACTTCAATAATTTAGCCGTTAATTAATATGAAAAGAATCAGGGGAACAAGCTGGGCTTTCATGCCCATTCATTCTGAGAGCAAACCAAAAACATGTTGCGCATGCACTCTTAGATTTTATCTTTTACAATACTAACGTAAAAAGGCAGAGGCATTCTGCGCTTTTTTTACATAAATAAGTTGTAACACGTCAAAATGCATTTGTCTGTTATAATCCAGACTAGGAACCAGATGCAGAGGCAAAGTGCAATTTCAGTAGCAGGGTTTATTGACTGGAATACGGTAATGAAAGACTGGGATGGACCCAGAATAGTATTCGGATAGTTCAGTTTAGATGGTAATGAGTTTGGGTGAGGGGCATGTTCGCGCCCGGCCAGTGGCATCCCGGAGCAGAAACCAGATGGAGATCGCTCTCGCCAGAGCTGAACTGTCAAAAGGCAGATTTGGAGAGTTAAGCTGCTTTCACACCGGACGCAAAACAAATTTTTCGCACGACAGATTACATTCAAAGTCAATGCAAAGATGCGAATATACGCATTTCGTGTGTATTCGTGTCTTTGCATTGACTTTGAATGTAATCTGTCGTGCGAAAAATTTGTTTCGCGTCCGGTGTGAAAGCAGCTTTAAGCTGAAACACAGTCCTAATCCTAATGACCGCAGAAGGCTTGAGAGGTGTTCCCAGTAAACTGGGCAGCGGAAGCTCCTGTTAATAAGACTAAGAAGAACATGATGATCATTTCCAAAGACTACAAATTCACAAACTGCGAAGATTACTGACTGGTTGCTTAGAGAATTAACGAGCGACAATGCTTTAACTTGACAGACTCAAATTAAAGGAATATATACGCCACAGAGATGTGCAGGAATGGGAATGCACACACCTACACACCTAGTGGGGGAGGCACACAAGACACTAAACCAATCAAAGAAAACAATACATCTAAAAGACACGCAGGATGCTGGATGGGAGGAAAAACGATGGGAGTACACACGAGGCTTGTGACATACGTCGTTATGTATGAAATTGAAAGACACCAGGGAATTTGCGAAGTTGGATGCAAACATCTTCACGTCAGCACCAGTGGTCATCATGGCAGACATCTCGCAACTAAAACATTTTTAGAATTGGGATTTTAAAGTCAAGAAACAATATAAGATTGAGGGAGACCTACTCTGGCCTTAATCAACAATCATCAATCCACGTGCAAATTAGCTGATAAAACTGGTGTTTGTTCACTGAACCAGTCGGTCCACACTTTATATTTGGCTTCAAATTGAATTGATGTGCTTTAATTGCTGGACAGAAACATGATTTGTCACTCTGCCATAATTAAGGAGAAGATAGTTGTGATTGAATCACTTGCTGATGTTGAACACACTGATGTTAAGAAGTTACATTTCAAAAGCTGTCTTATTGTATGCCAATGTAACAATGTTGTTGTATGTGATCCCAGTGTCATTAGTAATGAGAACTTGCTTGATATCGATCTGTGCGCATGCATGATTGCCCATGCCTGAGTAAAGTTTATCAAGAGTAACTCTGACTATCGTGATGGGCAGTGCCCTCCCTGGTACAGGCCTCACCGCACAACATCGCCCTGCCTGTATATCCACCTCCAGACGAGGCACCAGGACCCCAGTATTGATTCGGCCTCTCATTTACCTTTCATTCGCAGTTGCAGCCTCCTCCAGGAAAAGTTAGTCGGAGGTACAGAGCAAAAATGGCCACGAAAAGTTTGACTGCGCATGTGGATGCATGTGCTCACTAACAGTGAACACAAATAGACGTACATGTGTCAACCATATTCATTCACGCGTACAAATGCACACGATACCCACGAGCATTCGCTCAGTATACTAAAAACCATACGCATGCATACACATGGACAGACGCACACTTTTAAGGCAGCCTGAAACGGACCGAACATACACAGAAATAAATCTAGATATGCAAACGTATGTTACTCGTAAAGACAAAAATAGACCACCCATCATAGACCTATAGATTGAGTTAGTCCAGTCTACACTCTGAAGAAGCAGAAAGTAGAGGGGGGAAACCTGTTGGTGGATAGCGGGATGGACATGATGCCTGTACGGAAAAGAATGACGCAAATACCATTCAGCAGAGAGAATCCTCAGGGAGTAGAGCCCCCCGTTGCTTAGAGCCCCGGCCTGTTGCCTGGGAGATATTCGCACAGAAGAGTCCAGGTGGAGGGTTGCTGATGATGCTATTCGCTAAAAGGAGGAATTATATTAGTGTGTCGGCTGAGTAGAGCCTCAGATTTTCCTCAAAACACACAGCTGCCGTCGACTCCATCTCCTTCTCCTGCAATGAACCTGGCAAATTTTCCACAGCATGAAAAACAAAATTTCCAAAAAAAGAATATAATACAACGATAATGTTTGTGTTGCTCTATGACCTTCTTTGCTTTGGACCATGGTGTTCGTTATGGTTTACAAGTTGATGGCACCAAACTATACAAAGGTTTCCAATAGCTGTGCAGATTGTGTGTCAGAAGGTCACAGGCTGGTCACAAGAAGTTCATGGGTTGGAAATTGGAGATTTATGAAGCGGTCATTCAGTGGTCACAGGATAGTCATAGACCATAGGTGGTGAGGAGTAACGTAAGTATCTGAGCCTAATGTGCTTAGGAAGGTAACAGGAAGGTCATTGATAGGTGATGAGAGGGTCACAGGAAAGTCGTAGGTCGTGAAGAGTTGAACTGAAACTGAGAGACGTCAATTGCTTGGTTTGGCCATAACGCCCATAATGGTAGCAACAGAGAAAATTAAATTCACTATGGATGGCTACTCTGTATATTATGGGTAAAAATGCCAGAAAGCAGTGCCTTGCATGTTGCTGGCCGGAAAAAAATTAATGGGAGTCAATTGGGAAGTCCCTTTTATCCCTGATGGCAACCATTTTATGTCTTTATTTCCAATATTTTCTTTTTGATCCTTTAAAAATGACTTTTCTGCCCAATTGTTTGGTAAATTATTAGTCATGACAGCAAGTATTTATCAAGCTAAAAAGCCGTTTTGGTAGAACCCACTTTGAAAACTTGCGCAAAAGAAGAGTGCAGCATATGAAATCTTAGGTGCACCGCCTATCCAGTGTTAGTGCTACTGAATCAAATTATGCCACAGTCCATTCCATTTGTTCCTGTTGGCCTGTCTCGTCTATGGTCTCTGGCCAAATTTGCCGATGAAGGTTTCAGGAGGGTCACTGAAAGGTCGCAAGGAGGTCACAGAAATATCATGGGCTGTGAAGAGTTCAACTTAAACTGCCCTAAAAAGCTGTTTCTGTCCCTCAGTGTCACAGTCTGCCCTGCTGCTGCCGTCTCTCCCTCTGCTTGGCCACACCCCTTCCACTGCAATTGTTCTCAGCTGAGTCTCATTACCCTGCCAGTATAGAAGCAGCTCTGCTTCACTACTCATTTGCCAGATTGTCATTGCAGCATGCACTACTCTCCAGCCTTTGCCTTCGGCCTGACTTCCTAGAATCGACTCTGCCTGCCTCTGACGACTTCCTCTCGTTCCTGCCCCGGTAAACCTAAAAGCCTTCTGCCTCTGACTCCAAGTTCTGCCTGTGTGCTTCTTGGTTCCTGTCTGCCATCTCCTGTGCCCCTGTCCAAGCCATCCGGCTTACCACTCCTGTGCCTGTCTGAGTGGATACTGTCCAGTTGGCCCAGCCTCAAGCCAGCCTGCCCCGGTGGCTCAGTGGTAACTCTCCCGCCTGCAGTGTGGGAGACCTGGGTTCGGAACCCCACCATCAGTGCCTGCTACCTCAAGTTGCTGGAAGAGCTCCATCCAAGATCCACAGGTTCCTGGTTCTGGCCCACACCCTGTTACCCTGCTCTGCATTCTGTTTGCACCTGTCCTAAGCTCATTAAAACCAGTAAAGCTACTCTTGTCTCGATTGTGTTGCATTTGGGTCCTGCCACTCCCCGCGTCACTCAGAGAGAGATGAGTTTTCTCTCCTTCCACCGGAGGCAACCGTTCTATCACTGTGGGCCCAAGGAACTTCCTCAAGCCCATCATCTCCAGTCTGAAAGGTGACCATGAGAAAAATGGTGTCTTCACCGTCATTTATAACCAAGGCTGCTCCCCTAAGCCACAGTCAGACTGAGATTAAGCTTGAATCCAAATATTTGCACACCAGACTGGCAGAGTTGGGCTACACCAACTTCGGTCTCATGCACTGTGAAGTTGACTGAACTGGTCTATATAATTGCATGATGTTGGTTGAAAATGTACAATACCCACCATAATTCATGGGACAGTGAAACTTTATTTTGGTTCTGCACTCTAGCACTTTGAGTTTGAAAGGTTACAATGGCAATGAGGTTGAAGTGCAGACTATCTGCTTTATTTTGATGGGTGTTTTCATCCATATCAGACAAACTACTTAGAAATGACAGCACCGCCCCCACTCCACCCCCTCCCCATTTATGGGCACAAAAAACATTTGACAGTTATACATAATATAGAATAAAGTAAACATTATTATCATTTTTGATATTTTGTCGAATGTCTTTTGCATGCAATGACAGGTTGAAGGGTGCGACACACAGACATCTCCAAATGCTAGGTGTTTTCCCTGGTGATTCTCTGCCAGGCCTGTACTGCCGCCATCTTCAGTTCCTGGTTATTTTTGGGACTTTTTTCCCTTCAGTCTCCTCATCAGTATGTAAAATGCATGTTCTGCCGTCTTCAGATCTGGCGAATGACTCAGTCAACATAAGAAAAAAATGTGTCTCTGTTGAAAAAATTATGATTTTTACTGTACATGCCCAACTGGGACTGGCCTTCAGAAGTCCACTGTTGCTGCACATATCAGGCCTTATATTCTCAAAATTAACTAAAAGCAGTATTTGCACATAAGTACACATTTAGACGATATGAATTTTGCCTTTGAAGACTGTCTTTAGTTATTTTACCTCCATGCTAATATTATTACCAGCCGCGAAAGCGATGCTGGTAATGTTTTCAGTTGGACAGAGGGTGTGTGTGTGTCATCAGGGCAAACTGCAAAAAAGCAAGTCTGAAACCACCATACAACTGCTCTAAAAGATGTTTTCAGTATTTTTGTTGGTGTTTATGTCATTTTGTCTGTCTTTCTGTTTTTACAGTCATCTGTCTGTCTGTCTATCTCTCTGTGGTTCTGCTTAAGGACAATTCTTGTGAACACAACTGCACACAGCTGTTGAAGATGCAGTCATGAAACATTTGAGGTGAGTGGTTTGGATAAAAAGGAAGGGTGAGTTCAAAGATGGGTCCGGTCTGACTACACACTCACTGAACAGGGTGCTCTGAGCACATACTCACCGAACAGGGTCTGATCTGAGCATGTACACACTGAACGCATTATACAGAGGACCATACTGAAAACAATACCAGCATCTCTGTAGCTGCTGATGTGATCTCAGATTGTCTCTACTCATTTTTTGTTTTTAGCTTTAGTGTCCTTGGAATCTTTAATATGGTCACATCACCATTGCAGTGAACAATCTGCACAGGAATGTGAAGCCTGCCAGAATGCAAGTGTGAGGAAATATCAGACATTTGGATTCAGTGCAAAATTAATAATAAACTAGAATTATGAGCAACCAGCAATCAGAAATGAGCAATAACTCAAATGACCAAATTAATGGAGCTGGACAGACCAGAATAACTACAATTAAAAACCTTAGAAACCCATTTTTGTAGCCTACTACAAAATTTATAATGAAATTCTTCTTTCCAAAATAACATTTCATGTGTTTTCCATTGCATAAATTTTTCAGGTTCACACATCTTCGAATGACATTTTCCTTCTTTTCATTCCACAATGCCACATTTCTCAGCAAGGCCACCTGTCATTCAATATTGTAGGGGCAAGAGCAAAACTGTCAATGGTTAAACAGAGCTGACACTAAAACATCCACTCGGAGACCCGATGTGCTCAGATACATTTCCCAATCATTTTCTCTGTAGACATTTCATAAACCCCGTGGATAGAGTCAGGTAATTACTGTTCACATAATTATTGTGGGCTCTCCTCCGCCAGAAGACCCCTTCTGCATCGCTCATGGCAACAGACCATTTTCTGACAACATGCATGAGGGAGGCGGAACAGAGTTTTCACACACAATTAGACGCTTTCCCCGATTTGCTAACCAACAGGAAACTCCTTACTCTAGCAAGACACTGGCGAGAGAGTTGAGGTCTAAGAACTCATATGGTGAGAGTCAAATGCTAAACCCTGTCCCTGGCATAGCAAGGTATCACAGATTATAGCCCCCCATCTCGCACAAAATCAAAAATATCAGTAAATTGCTTTCATATGCTAGCAAAGCGTGAGACTCCCACGCTATCGATAACTACAGCCATTGCCATTTGCTTATCTGGCAGTCACCTCAAATCACTAAATTAACCCAGATTCAAGGTCAGCCATATTTCACCGAAAGTTTCATGATTAATTAATTGAACGCTAATGTTACGATTGCAGGAAGTAGCTGAAAGAAATGGAGTTAAAGAGAAGTGTTCAAATTTAGAAAAAAAAAATCACGGCAAAAAAATCTACTCTTCAAAAGAATAAGGTCACCTTTTAAGATTCCAGTGGAATGCCAAGTGTTGAGCCACAACAGTCACTGAAAGCTTGCCTTATTTACTCGGTCTTTCAAAGCAGCATTAAGAAATTAGGCGTCACGAGAGGGAGAGAGTGGGCGCATTCCTTTCAGGAGAATAGGTGTCGGTGAATGTGTTCGCTCACAAGCTGAAAGACCTCAGCGCAATTCAACAACGACCTTGTTAAAAAAAAAAAAATGCTGCCCGACTTACTGGAAAAAACATGACAGCAAGATCAGTGACGTCCCTCCTGCCAGTTAGGCCAAAGAGACTGTGGGTCGGGTCTGATTCCCGTAAATGTTGCGATGCCCTCTGTGGCACCCTGAAATGACCCCCACCCCCCATTTCACACTGGTACCTTTGCTCTGAAGGGTTGCGCCCAAGAGTCACCGATGGCAACAATGGAGGCGACGGCGAGGATAACAGGAGCCAAATCGAGCAGCGAAGGCGCCTGCTTTGGTGTCATAATGAGGTCCCATAGGTCATAAACACACCATGTACTGTGGTACAGGGAGCGTGTGCGGGGGCTTGAAACACCACTGCTCTGCTTATTCAGGTGGAAGATATGGAAAAAAGAAATTAAACACTGGGTCAAAAGTTAAAAAAGTAGCAGCGCTTTGTTCATTTCTTGAGGGTTCAGAGAGACTGTTCGAAGAATTCGGTAGATTGAAAGAAATGATGGGGTGAAGGTGTGTGTGTGTGTGTGATGGAAAGAGAGCGATACTGTACATGGAATTTTTTTTTTTCACAGAACAGCTGTGAAACTCGGATGGAAACTTAAAGTGACAATGTCGAAGATCTCCGTTTCGCTGTCTTTTGTGGCACAAATGGTGATAAGCGGTAATTGCAGATGCATTTTTTTTACCTCATTACCCAGAAATCCAGACAGTATCGTCTGTGTGATGTCAGTCAGTTGGTGCCTGCTCTACGCCCCATAACAATTTGGGTTCATTAGTAGACTTGTGACATTATAACGTTCGTTACAAGCAGCATTCCCACAACAAGCTGTGAATTTGAGAGATGGTTCCACTGTCAGTAGAATTATCTATCATTTTTATGCTCTTACCATATATATGGCTGGGGGCCAATTGGGTTGTGAAGGATTTAGACCAACCTTGACATTGTTTATTTGTGAGGTAAATCCCTCCTATAGTTATTAATTTTGATCGGTGGCAGGGATATGTTTTGTCTTCGTTTCTGATTTGACTCAATTAAACAAATTTTAAAAATACATTTCCTATACTTGTCAGTGAATGCTATGATATAGTTCGCCAAGATTGGACAACAGCCTGTCTCACAAAAAAAATTAGGTATACAGGGACTGCAAAGTATTTATTTTGGCAAGCTAGCACCGTGACAGGTTCACTCAGATTTTTTTTTAAGTAAGACTACATTAATTACTTTTCCATACTAAGTGTATAACCCATGATCAGCATTGAAATGCCCTGATTTGGCAGAAGCAGGCAGGTATAACGGCATGGAAGCTAGGTAATGCACTGCTGTGAACGGGCCAGAAGCAAAATTATATTTTGAGCGCCTAAAAATTCCTACATAAAAATCAATAGCAGCAACAAGTCTGAGTTTAAATGGCCTATCCCAAGTGGGAACTCAAGCAATAATCCCAGATTGATTTAAGTTTTACGCCGTATCCAGTAATCCCAGATATGCCAGAACAAAGCACTGATCAATTATTGAGTGTTCTAGAATGCTTTACCCTTTATCTTTGCCATGTAGGAGGTGGTCATTTTGTCGTTCACAAAGATGATTACGGAAACTTGTCATAATCTGTTGCAGCTAGAATTCAAGTATTTAACCTTCACTGACCCTTAATTCCTAAATTTAAAAAAAAAGCATGCCTGCTTGCTTCCATAGTTCCTGTAAATTCATGGTTTATATATATGACATGCACATACATGTATGTTTACATTTTATGAAATGTGTAGTACCTCTTCACATGTGGATTGCGAGCCCAGTCTCATCAGGGCTCGTTGTGAAGTGACGCCAACTGACCAAGCGTCGATGTACGATGAAAAAGGAGGCTTTTGGCGTCCTTGTTTGGCACCAATTTAAAACAAACCCTACCCCCTAACCCTCTAACCCTTAACCTGAACCATAACCGTAAACGTCATGATCTCAATTATCTCAATCACAAACTGATCTGGATTTGGTTA